TCGGCGAGTTCCAGCCTCCGACAGTGGTGGCGAAGGCGGATGGCTTGCGGCTGCACCTCTCGAGCAGCAACGCCACCGGCTACACGGGGGTGCGTAAGCACCTCAGTGGCCGCTTCGAGGCAGAGCACTATGTGCGCAGAAAGACAGTCCACGTCGGCCTCTTCGACACGGCGTTGGAGGCGGCGGTGGCGTACGCGCGGGCGGTCGGGGAGGCGCCGGAAGCGGGCTCGGCGGTGGCAGCAGCAGCAGGGCAGGCGTCGGCGGCACCGCTACCGCTGGGTAAGGCGGCAGAGGGCGCAGCCGCTGCCGAGCCGTCGGTGGAGGAGGCGGCGGGCGCGGCGCCGGCGGCAGGGGCAGAAGAGACGGCGCTGCTGGAGGAGGGAGCGGCGGCGGCGGCGGCGGCGGCAGCGGAGGCGCCCGTGGCGGAGGAGGCGGAGGGCTTGCGTCTGCATTTGTCCAGCAGCAGCAGCACGGGCTACCAGGGCGTGTACAAGGACTCGCGAAACGGCCGCTTCGAGGCGCAGCACAGTGTGGGCGGAAGGAAGGTCAAACTAGGCCGCTTCGACACGGCGGTGGAGGCGGCGGTGGCCTATGCACGGGCGGTCGGCGAGTACCAGCCTCCGGCTCATTCTCCTCCGACGGTGGCGACGGAGGCGGAGGGGTTGCGGCTGCACCTCTCCAGCAGTGGCGTTACCGGATACAAGGGTGTGGTCAAGCACGACTCCGGCCGCTTCCATGCGCGGCACATGGCTGACGGTAAACGTGCTTACTTCGGCATCTTCGACACGGCGGTGGAGGCGGCGGTGGCGTACGCTCGAGCGGTCGGCGAGTACCAGCCTCCGGCTCATTCTCCTCCGACGGTGGCGACAGAGGCGGAGGGGCTGCGGCTGCACCTCTCCAGCAGCCACGCCACCGGCTACAAGGGCGTGCACAAGCACCACTCTGGCCGCTTCCAGGCGAAGCACAAGGTGGGCGGAAGGCAGGTCTCGCTCGGCCTCTTCGACACCGCGGTGGAGGCGGCGGTGGCGTACGCGCGCGCGGTCGGGGAGGCGCCGGAAGCGGGCTCGGCGGTGGCAGCAGCAGGGCAGGCGTCGGCGGCACCGCTGGGTGAGGCGGCAGAAGGCGCAGCCGCTGCCGAGTCGGTGGAGGAGGAGGCGGTGGTCGCGGCGCCGGTCGCGGCGCCGGCGGCAGGGGCAGACGAGCCGGCGCCGCTGGAGGAGGGAGCGGCGGCGGCGGCAGCGGAGGCGCCCGTGGCGGAGGAGGCGGAGGGCTTGCATCTTCATTTGTCTAGCAGCAGCACGGGATACAAGGGCGTGTACAAGGACTACGCCCGCTTCCAGGCGCGGCACAGGGTGGATGGAGAGGAGGTATCCCTCGGCTCCTTCGCCACGGCGGTGGAGGCTGCGGTGGCGTACGCGCGAGCGGTCGGCGAGTACCAGCCTCCGCCTCCTCCGACGGTGGCGACAGAGGCGGAGGGCTTGCGTCTGCACCTCTCCAGCAGCGGCAGCAGCGGCTACCTGGGGGTGGTCAAGCACCCCTCCGGCAGCTTCCGGGCGCAGCGCAGGGTGGGCGGAAGAAAGGTTTACGTTGGCCTCTTCGACACCGCGGTGGAGGCGGCGGTGGCCTATGCGCGCGCGGTCGGCGAGGCGCCGGAAGCGGGCTCGGCGGTCGCAGCAGCAGCAGGGCAGGCGTCGGCGGCACCGCTACCGCTGGGTGAGGCGGCAGAAGGCGCAGCCGCTGCCGAGCCGTCGGTGGAGGAGGTGGCGGGCGCGGCGGCGGCGGCAGAGGCAGAAGAGCCGGCGCCGCTGGAGGAGGGAGCGGCGGCGGCGGCGGCGGCGGAGGCGTTTGTGGCGGAGGTAGCGGAAGGGCTTCGGCTGCACCTCTCGAGCAGCAGCAGCACCGGCTGCAAGCGCGTGTACAAAGACTCGTCAAGCGGCCGCTTCTACGCGCAGCACAGGGTGCACAACAGGCAGGTCTCGCTCGGCCACTTCGACACCGCGGTGGAGGCGGCGGTGGCGTACGCGCGAGCAGTCGGCGAGTACCAGCCTCCGGCTCCTCCGACTGTGGCGACGGAGGCGGAGGGGCTGCGGCTGCACCTCTCCGGCAGCAACCCGAGCGGCTACAAGGGGGTGACTAGGCACAACTCCGGCCGCTTCCAGGCGCAGCACAATGTGGACGGAGGGACGGCCTTCCTCGGCATCTTTGACACGGCGGTGGAGGCGGCGGTGGCGTTCGCGCGCGCGGTCGGCGAGGCGCTGGAGCGAGGCGCCTCCTCTTCCGCCGCCGCTGTCAGCGGCAGCGGCGCCCGGCCCCGCTCAGCAAAGCGCCCGCTCGAGCCGACCGACGCGCCGCTGCCGAAGCGACGCTCCAGCCGCGCCGCCGCCGCTGCACCCTCGGCAGCCTCTTCCTCCTCCACCCCTCCCGCCGCTTCCTCCTCTTCCTCCTCTGCCACCACCGCACCCACCGCCCCCACCGCACCCACCGCACCCACCGCACTGGCCGCGCCCGCCACCGCCGCCCGCACCGCCGCCTACACCTCCACTGCCACCGCCTCCGCCTCCACCTCCACCGCCGCCCCTGCCGGCCCCTCCCCGCTCTCGAGCCGCCTGTTCACGACCACGCCGGATGGGCGCACCGTGCTGAGGGAGACGCCCCCTCCGCCCACGGGCGGCATGGCGGCCGTCGCCGCGGCGCTGGCGCAGATCAACCTGCAGGCCTACGCCGCCGCCTTTGACGCCGAGGGCTACGACGACATCTCGTTCTTGCGCGGACTGGATGCCGCCGAGCGGGCGGACGTGGCCAAGGAGACGGGGATGAAGCCCGGGCACGCGGGCAGGTTTGTCAAGTTCGGCTTCGCGCCGCCCTGAGCGAGCCCGCCGCTAGGGGCTCAGAGCAAGCATGCGGCGATGGGAAGGCCTCTAGTCTCCGTCCGGCACATCAGATGTAGATCTACGGGGTCAATTTTCTTTAACATTTGAGAAGCAGTACTGGGGACCGTGCGACGGTCGCCCCCAGCCAACGAGCAACGTGGAAAATCGAGTGCACAGTCTCACGCGTGGTCAGCCCCTTACTCTTCCGCAAAAGAGAAATCGCACGTGCGCTCAAGCAAAAGCAATCGTGCAAATGTCTGGGACAAGGATCATCGAGCGTGATACGAGCGTCACTTTGTACCCACCCCCCCTACTTCGTCTCTTCGTGGGGACCCCCCCGCCGGTCGGTGGTCTGCCCCCGAGGTGGACCGGACCCCCCTCCGGTCGCGGGTCGCTCTCTCGGCGGCGGGAGGTGTGCCGACCGACCCCCCCCTCGGTCGGTGTCCTTGCCGTGAGCCCCCTGAAACGCTCTCCCTCCTTCTCGCGAACCGCCACGGGCGCTTCGAAATCGCCGGTTTTCACTATGAAAACTAGTCACGCAGCCAAGCGCCAAGGTGCAAGGAGACTTCTTCGCCGAGGCCCGAGCGAGCCCGACCCCACACATCACACATACATGTGCAGCATCTACGCAGTCGCAGGCCTGGTCCTGCTTGCCGTCACTTTGTACAAGCTCTGGCAGCGCTCCAGTTCTCCGCAGTACGCGCGCATCGTCCCGTCCGATGACTACGATGACTTGCCAGAGTGGATCGACACATCGCCGCCGCCGTCACCGGGCTCATCGGCTTCCGAGTCGCCCAAGCGACAGCGAATGGCAATCGATGGACGCCGCTTCTGGAGCAACTCAGTTAATCGCGACATGCTGCGCGTTGCGCGCGGGCAGAGCTATGCCGGCAACATGATCTGCCTCGCACCCGGTCTTCACGTCTCCAAATTTTCGCGCGGGCAGAGCTAGGCGATCCGTCCGATTCGGAGAACGAGCCAGGGCGAGGGCGAGGAGGAGGCGGAGGCGGAGGAGGAGGCGGAGGCGGAGGACGAGGACGAGGACGAGGACGAGGACGAGGACGAGGACGAGGACGAGGACAGCGACAGCGGCGACACACCCCTCAAGCTACAGATCAACCTCACGACGGAGGTGGAGAGGGAGGTGGACCTCTTCGTGGAGTCGGAGAGGAGGAGCAGTTCACCTTCGAGGAGTTCTACTGCACGCTGCCCCCGTGGGCGCGCGGCCGGCAGAAGGAGGTGCTGGCCGCGCTCAAGCGGCGTGTCGCCGGCGAAGCTAATCATGGACGACGACGATGACTAGAGCGTGGACATGGACGAGCTCGTGTTCCGACCCATCCTGAGCGCGCGTCTCGAGCTCAGCAACTCGGACGACGTCACGAGGAGTGATTAGACGGGGGGAGGTCGCTTGGTGTCTCTAGTATTTCGAGATACTAATTTATTCACAGCTGCGGCGAGCGTGTGCGGTGTGACCCTCGAGCCAACCCGACCGACCCCCCCCTCGGTCTGCGCTCCGACCGAACCGGATCCCCCCTCCGGTTTGCGGTCTTCCGCGGCCGCCGACCGGACCCCCCCTGCGGTCGGTCGGTCTGCGCTGGGCGCTCAAACCGCGAAGTCGGCCTGTTCACTACAAGATGACGCTCGTATGACGCAATTGAGGCCGCGAGACGCGAGCCGCGAGCCGCCCCGCAACGACCTAAGGTAAGGTAAGGTAAACTTCTCCACACACACGAGGTGGTGGGGCAAGGGGGGGCAACCCTCGCGTCTCCACGTCTAACGACAGGAGCCCCACGGCATTCAAAGTGCAAGGCCCGGTGCGCGTGGGTGAGCGGTGTGTGTGTGTGTGTGTGTGTGTGTGTGTGTGTGTGTGTGTGTGTGTGTGTGTGTGTGTGTGTGTGTGTGTGTGTGTGTGTGTGTGTGTGTGTGTGTGTGTGTGTGTGTCTCAACGACCTGCCGTGTGCGCCCGTCCACTCGGCGGGGTCGCAGCTGCCTCTGGACGGCACCGAGATGTACCTTTCTGCGCAAATGGTCAAATCAAGGTTTTGTGACGCGAGCTGTGCCACAGTGGGTCGTCGTGTGGAGCACAGGGACAGGGACACCGTACTCACGTACTGACATCCCGCCCCGCGCCAGGGGCGGTGGCGCGCGCCGCGCCGGGACACTTTGGACCCGCAGCCTGGCATACGCCAGGCCACAGATCCGCCGGCAGAGCCTTAAAGCTGCATCCGCGATCCGCGCCGGCTCTCAGGAGAGATCCGGCGCGGTGCTGACCGCGTCCTCGCAGGCCACCGAGTTCACGATGGTGTCCGGAGGGAAACGGTGCAGCTGCGGCATATCGCAGTGCGGCATGCCGCAGTGCGTCACGCGGCGCTCCTGCAGCAGCGCGCGCGCGGTGGTGAGGAGGGAGCAAGCCCTTGAGCTGCTGGCGTAGTCCATCGCCCGCGCACGCGCGCCGGCCTTGAGGTGGTTCCACCAACAACTGGCCCAGGGGTTGAGACCCTGCGGCGTTCACGTACGGACCCGCCTCGGTATGGCTAACCTGTTGGCGAGCGGTGCCTATTGGCGCTGCGACGGCGACTGCCAGGAACGTGCAGAACACGCTCGCAAGCAGACCGTATGGCAAGGCCGGCACCGTGGCTGTGCGCTCAGCGAAGAGGACAGCCACCCTTTGAAGACGCTGATACCCTCTTGCGACCCAGGTTCCGACCCTCTGCGTGGCCGACTCACACAGCGAGCCTTCCTGTCTCCGTGCTGCCGATTCATCGGTCGTGCTCAGTCAAGATATTGTAGAGACCGACCATATGCACAATATCTTGACTGAGAGCTAAGCCCAGTTCGACGATCGGCAGCCTCACCGCGGGTCGCGCCGCTGTGCAGCGAGAGCCAGGCTCGCCCGGCGATGGTGACCAGAGAGTGCTCAACAAATACCAGAAAAAATCAGGGAGCCTCAGAGAGTGCCACTGCCATCACCCAGGCCGCGGGAGCTGATCGGCTGCGCCGAGGACAGCCCCCTTGGTGTGCTCCACGGCTCACCAGTGTGCGCCGCGGCGCCGTCCAGCCACTTTGGCGGCCAGCCACCGGTCGAGTTCTTCGACTCTGGAGGACAGAAAGGTACCGTCTGAAAGGTATTTTCATCCTCTATTTAGCGCACTTGGTCTCAAAGAGCAACTCTCTTACCCGGCCGCGCTATTCACAGGTAAGCATGAGCGAAGCATCGGGTCGCAAGAGGATACGCCAGCAAATAAATCGTCCCAAGGAGCGCCGCCCGCCCCAACTCTCTCGAACGGGCAGTGGGGGGCGCGCACACTAACACAGGTACACCAAAAAAGATTAAACAATTCAAAATTAGTGGACTCGAACAACCTGCTGAAGCCAGACACATCTTCTCACAGCAAAAGCAAAAAATTGGTCGATTCCGGGGATTTGATATTGACACCGTCAAAGTTAAGGATGTGCTGGGGCGTGACCCTTCATCTGGCTTCTACCAGGGGGAGGGGGAGGGGGAGGGGGAGGGGGAGGGGGAGGGGGAGGGGAAGGGGGAGGGGGGGGGAGGGGGAGGGGGAGGGTTGAGGGGGAGAGGGAGGGAGAGGGGCGATGCACGGAGAGATGGATGTGGAGGAGGCGGAGGTCTATTAGATGGAAGACGAGCGAGAGGGGGGAGAGGGCAACTCTTCCGTCGCTCGCAAACGGCAACTCGCGAGCCCGACTCGCGACATTGGCGTTTTGCCCACTCTACGGCCGCAGGGGTTGCACTCGGCGCACGGGCCAAGACAGGCTAAATTGGTTTAATTTTGAGTTACCGTACAGTATGTTGAGGGGAGGTGGGTTGTGTGTCCGGTCCGGTCCAGTCCCGGTCCAGTCCAGACCCAGGACACACCCAGGACACACCCAGGACACACCCAGGACACACCCAGGACACGCGGCGCGAGCCTACGTGCAGGCAGTATGCAGCCCGTAGGGCGCGCCGCGCCATCTCGCGTCATCTCGGGTGTGTCGGCGGCGGGCTGGGCAGCGGCGGGCTGGACGGCGGCGGGCTGGACGGCGGCGGCGGCGAGTTGGGTGGCGGGTCAGCGCTGCGCTCTCCCGGCAGTGAGGCGGAGGTCAACGCATGCAGCATGGAGGAGGCAGCCACCGCCTGTGCAGAGAGAGAGAGTGAGGAAAAAAATAGCGAGATGAGAGAGAGGGAGAAGGAGAGAGAGGCGGGCGGTTGACTCACCAGGCCCGCGTCGCCACAGTAGGAAGCCGCCGACCAAACGCCCCCAAACGACGTGGTCGCGTGGTCGTTGTCCGCCGCCCTTTGCATCGCACCAGCCGTGCATCCCACATGGCGCGGCGCTGTGTATCCAAAGCATCCGCGACTCGATCGTCTCAGACCGGCAGAGCGCCTGCGCGTTGAGTGTCCATCGAAAGTCTGGATTTGTTTAGCCCAGAGCCACCGGGGTGGGAGAGGCGGCGTGCGCCGTGTGTCTCGTGCTCTCCGGAGCGGCTGGGGGTTCAGTTGGTTTGTGATGAGGCAGAGTCAAAGACAAAACACTTCCTCCGGCGGCGCGCCGGGACTCTGAGAAGAAAGCGACGGCGCGGGTGGCCGCCCCGACCGCCCCCGCCGATGCCCAGCCCCCCTCGTCCCCCCGGGCACGCCCAGCCATGTTCGAGTGTGAGCCCCGTCAGTTGCCTTCCATCCTCTACGTTCTCAAACAAACTATTCTGCTGGGCATAAGTTTCAAACGTGGACCAGCCTCAACAATCTTGAGACTCAAACTCGTTCTCCAGTAAAGGTTGTTTTGAGACTTGACTCAGGAGGAACTAACTGGCGGCGGTATGTGAGATCTCATGGGGACGGGGGGGGGGGGGGGGGGGCTCCAGGACCCAAGGGTGCCGTCCGGGAAAGGGATACCCCCAAAACCCCCCCCAGGGAGAGGGGGGGGACCCCTCCCGGGACCGACCGCTCTGGTTGTTTTCAAAACCCTCCCGCTCGCTGGGAAAAAACGTTCAGGGGGGAAAAAAAACGTTCCCCCATTTTGGCAAGCAAGAAGTTCCAATAAGGCAAGAAATAGAAAGTAATGTTCAGAGAAATTTGTGCTTTGGGCTGGAATTTTCGTTGTTTCTCCTGTCTGGTATAGGGCTGGCGAGGTACTCCCACGCCTCTCGGGGATTTTGTCTGGCCGAGTCAACCCGAGCCTGGCGAGACTGCGTCAGCTGTTCCCACAGCAGGCTGGAAGTACCTCGCCAGGTATAGGGTTCCTCCACAGCCCCAAGCCGTGAACTCTCGTTGACGCGCGCACGCCGAGTCAGGGGAGCGCGACGGACTGTGGCCTTTCGAGGGCCCTGCGATGCCTGCGCCTCCACCGATGGACCCGGGGCCGAGCCGCGCCGAATCCAGCGAGGCCGGGCTGGGCGAGTCATCCAAGGTTGCAACCTCCAAGATGATCACGTCCGACCACGACTCGTTCGAGCTCATCTTTATGATGCTCATGGGCATCCGCACTGCGGTGGGCAAGTTCGCGTCCAAGGAGCTGCCCGCCGAGATGGGCCCCGCCGAGTTCAACCAGAATTGGGAGGGCGACTTCCTCGCCTCTGGCACGCCCGAGACGCCTGCGCACAGCCACTCCGACTACCGCTTCAAGGAGTACTCGCCACTCATATTTCGGCAGCTGCGCGAGCGCTTCGGAATCTCGTCGCAGGACTACATGCTCTCGCTCACGTCGGAGTACGTGCTCGTCGAGATGTTCACAAACTCCAAGTCGGGCTCCTTCTTCTTCTACTCGGCAGACTACCGCTTTGTCCTCAAGACATGCACAAAGCGCGAGGCGCGCGCCCCCGCAGATGCGCCCGGAAGGACCGGCGGGGCGGAGCGCAACCACTGCCCCGATTCGCTCGCTCTGGACAAGAAGCGAGGCACCGCCGCTGCAGCGCCGCCGCCCACGCCTCTGCGCCGTCGCGCGCGCAGGCGGCTTTTCTGATGTCCGCGCTGCCCCCGTACCACCAGCACCTGATGTCTCACCGGTTCACGCTGCTGTGCCGCTTCTTCGGGCTGCACCGCGTGCAGCAGCGGAGCGGCAAGGTCGTCTACTTCGTCGTGATGGGCAACATCTTCCCCATCGACAAGCCGGTGCACGAGCGGTTCGACCTCAAGGCGCGAGATCTAGCCGAGATACAGCCGAGATACAGGCGAGACACAGATGAGATACTACAGGGGAGATACAGACCGAGAGCAGCCGCGCGGAGGGCGCCCTCCTAGGCCCAGCGGGTGGGCGACAGCTGGTGCACTCTTGCCTGCTCACCGCATCCCCGAGACGCGCCCGCGCCTCGAGATGCCACGCCTCCGCCGCCGCCCTCCCTGCCGCCGCCCTCCTCCCTGCAAAGAGGGCGAGGAGAGAGAGGGCGGAGGCAGGGAGGGGGGCGGTGGCAGGGAGGGGGGCGGCAGTAGGGAGGGGGGCGGCAGCTCCCATCCCGCCGCCG